CGCTCCTTTTGGTTGGAAGAGAGGGTACCTATTAGCTTTAGGATGTTGCAGTTTGCAACCTCCTGCTAACGTGGAAAGGTCAGTGTCGGTTAATTCAATACTGTATTTGGTGTAGACCGCCACTAGTTTGACTTAAGATTCTTCTCCTTCCTCATAATGGATGAAAAGGAGTTGTTAAGAAAATAACGTTATAACTTAGCGTGTTTATCACAACTTAAACTTTCCTAAACCTCTCTTCAATTCAATTTTTATTTGTTTATTAAATATATTATTATTTGTTTTTGTCTTGTTGGAGTTGATGATTATGGTTAAGGATGTACAGTCAACTGGGTAAGTGGTCCGTACCAGGCGCTTCCATTAATTAGTATTTCTCTTGTACGTATTTGTTTCTTTTAGGTTTGTTCACATTAGTCATTACCATTTTTTTCTCTAAACATAAGCTGAAATGCTTTCTTTTTCTATTTTGTGATCTATTCATGTCTAACAAAAATTTCTCCACACAAACATTACCATGAGTAACCAGCAGTGGCTTCACAAATTAAGAAGCACAAACAAAAAATTAGAGTTAATCCTAATCCATAATTACGGAATCAAAATAAAGTAATGAGCCGACGAATAGGGGTTTCGCTGTGTTTATCCACTTTTCTAATAGGGACGTTTTCTTCTTCCATGTTAATTAATTAATTTATTTATTTGTATATTAAAAAAATTAACTGTTTAATATAAAATATTTGAACTTTTGAGTTTAATTTTAAATTTAGACTTTTAAATTAATTGGTACTCTAAATCTAAATTTTAAAATTAATATATATTAATCTAACTAATCTCTTACTAATTTCATTTCAGTTTACGTAGGTAGATAGGTTACGTTTGCGTTGGTTACACATTAGACTTTTTTTTTTTATTTTCTTTCACCCTTAGAGGCGGGTTGGATGAACTTAAAAAAAATATTTTTTAGAGTAAATTCTCCTTCGACAAATTCAAAAAATCGACTTTAAAGTAGCTCGGAGGGTCAAATACTACCATTCGGGGAAAGTTCGAAGGTCATGTACTTCTGCTTCTAGTTAGAGAATTGATTTAAAAGCTGATTTGCCCCTTTTTGACTTCTTTTAA